GGTGCCGGTTCGGGCCGGGTCACCCGCCGGGCCCTTGTCCGGGCCACCCGCCGGGTTGGGTCGGGCCTAGGTTATTTTTTTTTAATCTTTTTAATACAGCTTAAATATGAAATACATTTTTCAAAAAATACTAATACAATAAATTCTAAGTTGTAAGTTGTAAGTTTGTAACCAATTAATTAATTAATTAATTTGAGAAGTGCTGCATATAAAAAAAAAAGAATGTATATTTATTTGAAATATGAAATACAACTTTACAAATTACAATAGAGAATTGAAGGGAAAATTAAAACATGAAATACATTTTATAATACTTTAATATATATAAGTAGATAATAGGCAGAGATTAAGTAGATAAGGAATATAAGTAATATAATATATGTATGTAAAGTAGATAATTAATAATTTAATATATAAGTAAATAACAATAAGTATAGATGATAAGTAGATATCAAAGTAAATATTAAGAAGATAATAAATACTACCTCCGTCCCACTAAGATTGGGACGAGAGAAGGTGACACGATTATTAAGAAAAGTGAGTTTGTGTGGTTGATATTAAAGTGATAAAGTTAGAATAAAGTAAGAATGATCTAGAGCCACACAATCCTTACCAAATTTGGTATGGGACAATCTTAGTGGAACTTCCCGAAAAGGTAAAATGGGACAATCTTAGCGGGACGGAGGTAGTATATATTAAGTAGATAATAAATATTAGTAATATAATATAGGTATATAAGTAGATAATTAATATATAAGTAGATATAATAATTATATAAATAATATATATATGTAGAGAGGTTTGGAGAAGATGAAGATGGAGATGATTATATTAAGATTTAAGAGTATGAGGGAATAGAGAATTAGAGAGTAGGAAGAGTTGGAGAAGAGGTGTAAAAAATGTATAGAAAATAGGAGTATAAATAGGTTTTTTTTATCCCCGCCCCCAAAACCCCTGGACCCCCCCCCCCCCCCCCTCCCACCCCCTCCAACGGCTATAGAGCCGTTTGGGAGGTCTCCCAACGACTAGATGCCTCCAAATAATTTTAAAACAATTTTTAAAAAAAAAAACAGGAGCCCCCACACCCCGACCCGACAGAATGGTGGTAGGCCTTATACCCATGCGCACCAGAGGTCCAGCCAACACGCAAGAATTGTAACCTCCACACGGTCGCTACGAGTTTCGATCCTTGATTGTTTTTCCAAATTTCTCATCAATGGACCAACTGAGCTACCCGTGCGGGTAAATACCTCCGTTCCAAAACAATAGTAGGAGTTTACTATTACTAGTTGATTGATTATCCAACGAAGGAAAGATGTTGAGAGAAAGCTAAAACTATTAAAACAACTTCCTCAGAGGCGGTGTATTGATTGATTAACCCTTACAAGTTACAACAATCTCCAAACAAAGTATTTATATTAAGTACTCCCTACATAATATAAAGGGAAAAGGGGCAAATAAGCCCTCGAACTAATAAAAAAAGTGCATATAAGCCCTTTTGTAGGAGGTTCTGTCCGATCATCGTCATTTGGGGAGGTTCTCGGTGGAATTTTTTGATGAATTTTTTTTGAGCATCTTCTTCATTAAGTCTAGTTTATCCATACCAAATTTCAGCTAAAAATTCAACCGGGAAGGCACTCAAATGACTTTCGGAACTACACTGCGTTGTTTAACTGCGCAGTTATCTTCAAAAATTCATTTGACTATCTTCCCGATTGATTTTTTAGTTGAAATTCGGTATGACTAAACTAGACTTATTGAATAAGATGCTCAAAAAATTTCATCAAATAATTCCACTGGGAACCTCCCCAAATGACGATAGACAAACGAAACCTCCTACAAAAGGGCTTATTTGCACTTTTTCGAGTAGTTCGAGGGCTTATTTGCCCCTTTTCCCTAATATAAAATTCTTCCCAATTTGGCTTGGTCCGGAGTTTAAGAAAATGAGAATAAAATGAAAATGTATGATTGCAGTTGAGTAAAAAAAATGATACTCTATGAATGTTAGCTACACAAAAAGGGAAATGAGGAAAAAAACGGAAAGTCACAAAATGATACTCCCTCCGTCCCCTTTTAAATGGGACAGGAGATGGTGGCACGGGTTTTAAGAAAAGTGAGTTTGTGTGGTTGATATTAATTGATAAAGTAAGAATAAAGTAAGAATGATTTTGAGCCACACAAAGTTTACCAAATAAGGTATGGGGCAATTAAATAGGGACATCCCAATATGGTAAAACGGGACATTTAAAAGGGGACGGAGGGAGTAGACGGAAAGAATTCTATTGGACATATGGAGTACACGGTAAGGCTTGGCTACTAGCTAGCTAGATGTGAGTAATGTGACCCGTGTCCCGAGCTAAACACATCCTAAGCATGTGTCTTTGTTCGACTAGCTTACTCTATCTTAGTGACACATGTCCTTTCCCAGGGAGAGCGTACGTACACTATCCACCTGGTTGTACAGTGTTCACCGTGCAACCGGTAAACACACATAATATATATGCTACAAATCAACTTATCCATTTTACTATATTATCATTTGGCTAAAGGGTCAAATAAACCCTTGAACTAACTTAAAATGTTCAATTAGTCCCTCATATAGGAGGTTCAGCCCGGCTATCGCCAATTGGGGAGGTTCCCGGTGGAATTTTTTGATGAAATTTTGTGAGCATTTTCTTCATTAAGTCTAGTTTACCCATATCAAATTTCAGCTAAAAATTAAATCAGGAAGGCAGTCAAATGATTTTCCGAAATGGACTGAGCTGTTTAACTGCGCAGTTATCTTCAAAAAATCATTTGATTGCCTTCACGGTTGAATTATTAGCTGAAATTCGGTATGAGTAAACTAGACTTAATGAAAAAGATGTTCAAAAAATTTTATCAAAAAATTCCACCGGGAACCGCTCCAATTGGCGACAGCCGGGCAGAACCTCCTATATAAGGGGCTAATTGAACACTTTAAGTTAGTTCAAGGACCTATTTGACCCTTTAGCCTTATTTTATTATCATCCAAATATTTATTGCATTAATTTTATAATTTAATACGCATACTCGTTTCTTTTAAACGCTATGCTCATTTCTTTTAACAAAAACTATCTGATTGTACCGTATGCACGGTATAACCGACTCTATTGTGTGCATAGTACAGTCGGATGTACGGTATAATTTGCCGTTCTAAGGCTTCCGTGTAAGCGGAAGGATCTTCTACTTCGTCATAGTGTAGTACCGAATTGTTCCTCGTTTTGGTGCCAAGCCAAGGGTTGGTTCTCCTTGGTTGAGGCTAAGCTTCGGTAAGGAGGTCGTGGCTTATGCCTTAGGCTCGACCTATTAATCTTCTACTACCTTCGTTCTGAAAAGGTTCGCCATATTGACTTTTCTTGGTCAATATTGGTAAATTTTGGACAATGATTTTAATTATTATATTTATATACGAGTATAATTATATATTTTATATTTTTATGCAAATATTTTGAATGAGGAACGTTTTGATATAATTTTCATATTCAAAATAATTTCACATTAAAAGATATTTTTGATCAAAGTTGATTATCATTGACAAAAAAAATCAATTTGGCAAACCTTTTTAAACGGAGGGTGTATTATATTGAAGGTTGGGTCAATTGGCTCAAAAGCTACTAATGATTAATCGATGCATATGATCCACCTTCCAAGCCCAATAATTGTAAATTAAGAGATCTAAGCCAATATGCTCCATTAACTTCCAATGCTACACATGTTTTAGTAATATATTGGTATTTTCCCCAAAGCTAAATTGTATAGCTCTTGTAAGTTGTGATCAGTAGCGGAGCTAGAAAAACATGTTAGGGAGTCAAACATTGGATATATGCACTTTTAAAAATCCGGATCATTTTGAGACAATATTTGAGTTGAATAATTCATATATAGGTGAGATAATGCTAGTTCGAATGAGACGTAAAGAGCTATTGGTTTGACTCACATAGCTACTAATATTATGCATCAAATTTTAACCATCTCATGTTTTGATTTTGCTGATTTTCCAAAAGTCCTAACTTTTGACTCATAATAAATTGTGATAGCCATAATTTATCAAGCCAAATACATCTCAGTGCTCTATGTGCTCAAATTTTCAGAAGGGTCGACTAACCACCCTTGGCTCCGCCCCTGCCTGTGATGGTTCATGCATACATTCAGTCATAACATGATGGTGGCAACCCGCACGGGTAACTCAATTGGTCGAGTGGTGGGAAATTTAGATCAATGAACCAAGGTTCGAATCCCGCAGCGACCGGGTGGAGGTTACAGAACCTGAAATAAGGTTGGACATCTGGTGCGCACTGGTGTATGACCTGCTGCCACTTTACTGACTGAGTCACCGTGACTTACTCCTTCATTATCCTGTCGGATCGTGATGTGGGGCCTCCTGGGGTGGGAGATTCCACCTTTTTTGGATCATTGGATCAATGATGGTGGCAAAGGGGAGTTGGCAAACTTAATCATATCGTGAGAGAACACTAACATGTGTAATGTGTTTGGATGAGATGGATTTTCTAGCTCATGATGGGCTTACTTTGGTTGAAGATCCTCCCCATAGGCCATAGGCCATAATACTGCAACTTCATTGAAAGCTAGCTAGCAACATCCTCCAGTTTGAAAGATCAATTTCACTGTTCATTTTTATTTTGATGTCAATACTAGTTATCATTGGCATACAATACTAGTATAACTGAAGCAACTGTTTAGTTCTTCTAGTGAACGTGATGCTTTGGTTCTACTGTTATGAAACACCTGAAATGATTTTAGTTTCACTATAAAACATTTTTTCCTAAATATAATCACATTTTCATCATTATTTGAAGACAAAGATGCACCAATTATGAGATACTCCGTATGTTGAATCAGTAAAAAAAGTGCATATAGTAAGAATTGGGAATGTGACAAGTGTTCACAGCATTGTAAAAAAAACTGCCCAGCCTGGCTCAACCAAAAACAAACAAAAAATGATTAAATGACTGGCATGAGGAAATCTATGATAATGATTACTCGTTTGCTATAATGGTGCTACAGCCAAGCATGTGAGACTTTTCTTACTACTACGTACTATATTACTGTCTTCTTAAAAACGGCCCATGCATAAACATCAAGTTACCCAAAAAGGGCACCAGCCGCACCACCAAGCAATAGCAGCTATGTAGCTTAACATGAAGTCTTGAAGAAATTGAAAAACATGAAACTCTAACTAAGATCATCATTTATTTAGTACCAATATATTACAGGTCCCATTACTGCCATCCCTGACAACCCCTCATTGTTCCGTATGGAAAACCAGACATTTCCAAGAATAGACACCAACAATTTTAAAGATAATGGATTATAATTACACTGGCTGCGGCAGCTAACATAAGACTACTAACACATGCGTCTCTAAATAAAGAATAAACATAATGCCCACAATTAATCCAAGTAATGCGGCGGTGGTCGTACAACCGTACAAGACAGGGATCATCCACAGTGGGAATGGAATCACCAAATGCCTGCCTTTGACATTTTCAGAAAGTTGCAGAGGGTAATGTTTGGCAGTTGGATACAACTCCCCTTCTTTATCTTTGTTGTCTTTACAGTCTTGTTTCCCTTTGATGATTCTGTCACAGCAGTTACTGACACCAAGCTGTAGAACTGTAAAAGCGCCAATTAAGAGCAAATTCTAATTAAGGACACAAAAACAATACAGTTTTCCGCAACAAAAAAAAGTTGTACCACTTGTACACCTTGCTCACACAGAATGATTTGGTTCTCATAGACAAAATATTGTTTATGAATGTCTGAGAACAAAAAAACAGCTTTGCATAGGCAATATTTTTCTCCCTGTGGAGAATAAATCATCTGTGAATTCGACGTGACATCACACATACAAAAGGACCCTGATTTGTGTGAAAGTGGTGTATGAGTGTTGTAGAAGTGGTTTATTAACGGGAGGTTATACTGATTTGAACCCAGGAACAAAATGTTCTCTGAGCTCTATAATTCGAATCCCCAAGAAAGGCCACTCAGGTTTACCCAGTCATTAATTTCGAGCCTGCAGGAATATACAGGCCACAATAAAGTCATTTAGTACCTCACAAACACCATGCAATACCAAGCGATGAAAAGGGTCTTGAACAGACAGTTCTAGCACATCTTCATCACCACTCTCTTTGATAAATATTCGAATGCATTCCTAAAAATTGAATTTAATTATCAATATGAAGAACTACAGAGTATATAACAATTAACAATACAATCAACATGTGGGAAGAGTAAAAATGCTTATGCGCTTGGAAGGTCATTGAGAATGCAATTCTTTTGCGCATGCAAGCAGTGTGTGCGTAATAAACAACCATAAAAGCTCCTAGGCATTTCAACATCTTTAAGATTCACTATTCACAAAAATAAACCTCGTAGCTATTAATGAGCTCCGGAAGAAAGCTACGGCGAAGCGCCTCTCTTGTTCGACAATCCACTCTATGCCATGCAGTTAATACTGCAACCTTATCATTGTTAGCGCCATGCTTATGCTTTGGCACAGAAATTTCATGGGCCTCCATCATGGTAGCCTGACATAAAGAGGAACATGCAAGGGTTTAAAGTATATCAGGATAAGTGCCATGGTATGATAATCATAATATCAGAAGTAAAGCAAGACATGGTATGAATGCAGAAAGCACAAAATGTATATAACAAGATGTTTATTTGTCACTTTCATTATACTCGTACTGAATACTTCTCCCATCCAAAAAAGAGCCATGTAAAGAAACTCATGTTTCAACAAGCACGGTTAATAATAAATTTTCCTGTAAGTTACCATAAAAGAGACGTGAACATGCCAAATATGAAAGAAAAAAAGTTATACCAACACATGAGTTCAAACAACCAGACCAACATTAAAAATATACGGAGTATATCTTAGTATCGTACTGAAATAGGACAATTTTAATTGCTTTCAGGATGGAATACTTTCTTTCATATTTAAGAATATGTAAAATAAAAACAAAAGAAAAATAACAATTTCATAAAAATAAAAATATAAAAGCATACAAGAATATGTCAACAAGAATGATTGGTTTTCAATAAAAGGAGTGTAACCTCTTTGTCCATGTCAATGTTCCTGAAGTTATCCCACTCTTTATGATATGTCATGCAAAATGGAGAGGGTGGCAAATCATCACCTGTACAGTTAATTAGAAAAGGGTTTAATACTAAAACATAGAAAATATGAAAGACACAAACACTTAGTTTCATTGTAGTTAAAATCAATGCTTAGTCCTTACTGATCCCAACCTAAGTGCTAGGCAAATGTGTTGGTCTCTCTTTGAACACCTAGGGATTTTTATCTGAAATTCTGAATAAACCCACCCTAGTCCAACTTAGAACCCACTGAACAGACCCTCAATTAATCCCTATGTAGTTGTTAATGTACTAGGCTACAGTATGCCGCCTAGCAGGCAGCTAATGCCTTTTAAACCAGTGGTAATAACTACATATTACATAGAATAGACTTGAAAGATGTCGAAAACATTTCGTGACAACATATTACTAGCAATGAAACTAGTTTAGGATATAGCTTACCAAAAGGTGGTGGAGCAAATAACCCTCTAATTTCTTCCACATTCAAGCGAGGAACAAGTTCCATCAGTAGACGGTCATTCAACCATCGGCGAGATCTTCTGTTGCTGACCTGAGATAAATATTATCTCTTGCCAATTGGAATCAATAATTTTCACACAAAAAATAATTAGGAACCACAAAATTTTGGTATATAATCTTTTCCAGCAAAACTTTCTCCTTTGCAAACTACACCACTTGGATGCATTCTTAAATTCTAATCCCAAATGTGGATACTTAGTTCAAAGCTTATGTCATGTGACTCCTGTGAGTTTGTGTACCACTCTTTCTGAGGGAATGCTGCCTACTAATTAATTAATAGCATCCAAAGGATAAAATTAATTCATATAATCATATCATTTCACCAAATAAGAATCAATGCCACACCAAAGGGCTATTGGAAGTGGGGTAGATAATTGCACTTCGAATAGGTATTATCGATAGAATCAGGCAACAAAGCCTCAAACTTTAAAGTTGCAGGATTTGATTACAAATATATACCACATTCAGATGCATGGATAGTTTTGTAATGAGGCTATTGACTCAGGCCCAACATTTTGGGGCCTCATGTTATCCATTATACATGTGTTTTTACAGCGAATTTTTAAGAATTCAAATTCGGGGCAGACAACTAAATGACGGGATTCCTACACCAACCAATCACATAGTGAAACAGGATATAGACACTGTCCAATTAGAACGTTTGGCCTGACCTAGGCAAGAAGTACTGTGAGGAACAAAGTTATGATCCTAAAAGCCCTTAAATAGCACCCCAATTAGGCTTTTTCCTATACAACACTCGTTTCTTGATAAAAGAGAGCGACAGACCCATAAAACTTATGCCCAAAAAAACGAATGAGCAAAAACGGCTCTTCCCAAATATCCTAAGATGAAGTTTGAGAATAATACTTTTCCAGCCAAGTTTTCAAGTAACTCAATCTTCTTCTCGATAGCAATCCCTCGGGACTTCACATTTTCTCCTGCAATCCATCCCGAGAGAAAAATTATTCTTAGAAAAACCTGAAATCGATCGGAAACCACAACCGCAGATCTATACCGGATAAGGAAACAAAACAGCGGTTTACGATTTTCAAGCACAGGCAGCAATTAATACATGATAAGAAGGGAATCCATGTTCTGTCTAATGATCATTTTAAATCAACTAAACGCGCAAATGAAAAAAGAATGAATATTGGATGAGTTTAAGGACAAAATGGACATAATTTGAACCTTTCGGGTTGTCAAGAAGGGGCGACAAGATGGGATCTTCTCTCAGCAATACATCGGGGGTCGCCATGCTTGTTTGAATTTTCAACTCAAGGAGGAAAGCAGGAGAATGGAGGGTGAATACTTGAATGTCAAACGAAGGAGATGCGCATGGAGAAGGAATGTGATAACCAAACGCGACCTTAAATAACAAGACTAGCAGCAACACAGCGGAAGAAGAATATTCTGTGGCGGGTTTGGAGCCTAAAATTTAGGTATACAACAAAATACAGACACCTGCACACTTTCACACATGCACAAATTTGGAATTTCGATTTGACAAATGATGATATAGAGCCTCTTTCAAGATCCTGTTCTTCCCTTTATCGGAATACGGACAACTATTTTTTAGTAACTTTTGATTTCGTGCGTTGAATTGTGTAATAATAAAAAAAATAGATTGAAGTTATTTTTCTGACTGTAGTGACTGAAGTTAATAGAGAGAGTCGGTTTAATTGTTTTTCATATAATATTTATTTTGTTCTATTAATAAAATAAGTATTGTAAATATAATGTTTTCATAAATCAGCCAATATAGTCACCGCAGTCAGTACTTCATAAGTGGCAGTTGAATCGGCCATTACAGTCGATTTGGGTATTACCAAACGGGTTCTTAAAATACGGAGTAGAAAAAAGAATGACATCCATCTTTGAGGGTCTTAGAATCGGCCAGATAATAATTTAAAAGTTATAAGTTGAACTTTGATCACATATTGGTGAAAAAAAATGAGATTTCAGTCTAAGTCACTAATTAGAGTTTGATTTGTGACCTCTCCCTTTTGACACCCTCTTTCCACCAGGTGAACTACGTCTCCCACATGAAGGTTTAAAATAGAGTTGTTGGGTAGTTGGTAGTAGGAACCGAAACCATCATCAACAAATAGTGATGTTAATGTTTTAAATATGTCTCCGTTATTTGATGACTTTGTTAATGATACGGCACCACTATGCAATTATGTAGTCAATTGTCTTCTAGAAAATTGTCCAACATAGGACCAAAACTCAAGCTTCTTCCCAAAATTGGACCATATGTATGTTTTTCCCTAAATAGGACTAATTTTACCTTTTTTGCCCCTAATTCTATTTAAGTAATTAATTGAACTAAATAATCCCCCCCCCCCCCCCGTTTCATGCACAACCAAGGCAGTCTGTCGGTGGAGGGGTAGTCCATGGTGGCGGCGGCACTGCGGCAGCGGGTGGCTGTGGATTCTGGCGGCGGCGAACTCCGGTGGTGGCGGCGGTTGACAGCGGTTGGCGGCAGAAATGCTGGCAGACCGCCAGAAAAAAATCTGGAGGTTTTCCGGTGGCGGCAGTCGAAGCTCTGGTGGCCGCGGTCTAGCAGCGGCAGCAATTCAGGGGCACCAGTGAGGGTATTTTGGTCCAATCACATATAAAAAGTCCTATTTAAGGATGTTTGAACTAATTGGTCCTATTTTGGGGGAAACCATGTTTTGCTCCTATTAAGGTAAATTTCTCATTGCCTTCATTACAACTTGAGTTACTATTTATCACATGGAATTTATCCACAATATGTCACATTATTAATCTAAACAACCTCACATCCATCTTTTTTCAAGGAGAAATTATTTACGAAAAAATAAAAAATTACGATAACACATGTGGAGCAAGGATGGGAGATTTGCAAAGCCGGTGGTATATTGTGAACAAATGTGAAACTCAAAGGATTTGGGAAAATTATGTAAACATGCATTATTTTATATAACATGATCGACTAGTCATTGAAAGTGATAATAGTCAGAAAATCAAATATCAATGTTTGCAACCCGAAGGAGAGTACACATGTAGTTATTTCATTTCAAATCATGGTTTTACTTATCTATTATCAAACATGAATACTCACATAAAGAAGATACAAAATAAAAGAGCTCGCTGAAAAATAAAGAAATGTCTCATAAATCACTTATGGAGTAAACATGGTGGCCAACAAAACAATTGATATTTTTATTATTGTGACTTCATATATTGTATTTCAATCGAAAAGGGCAACCATAATTTTATGTTTCTCCAATTCCTAATACTACTTTATATTGTTGAATATTGTCTATGTCTCAAATGATTTGCAAAGTCAACTTTTTGTCATTACACATCACTTTAAATACTTATTCAACATATTAATTTTTTTTTATTATATTTTAATTTGGATTTTGAAACTTTATAGAACTTTCATTGTACTTTCCGAATATGTAAATTTTATTTTTTACAACTGATTTTACTATTTACAAGGATGATTTAACTTTATCTTCATTTAACCTTAAAATCCGTAAATTGCAATTCAATTTGGGACTGATGTACTATTGTTTTGATTTAGCATGTTGAGTACCTTTATAAGTTTGCAAAAGTAATTACTGATTAGTGTGATGGCCTTACAGTTTCAGATTAAACGTGGGAAATTCTTATTAAATTTTACAATATGAGTATACCATGATATCCTTACTAAATTTCCTTTGATAATGGATTATGAAAGAATACTAATGAATGGGATTATGAAAAGAATACAAATGAAACATAAATGTTTATTATAACTTCATATGATTAATTTATACTGCCTAAATATCAATAAAACATTGTATTCAAGAGGAACCAAACGTATTTGCTTCACTTGTTATCTTGAAGAGAATAATTTACTGCTACAATTAGTCAAAATATTCACAAGATAGGCAAATAACAAGAACATGATTTTCTATGAGCTGAGTTTAAGAAGGACACTTCACAAATATTGTGTAGTCTTGAGTGTCATCAGTTGCAAATACCGAAAAAGAATGTGTGAGTAGTGTTTAGTATGAGTATTCCATCAAAGCCAAGATAAAATAGAAAAAATAATATGTATCTATTATTTATCTACCGGATCCAAAGAGACTATTCCCCCACTCTTTTAAAATATTCGCTTGCATGACTTCATATGTTGTTGTTATAGTTTCCTTCTTTTTAATTTTTTTTACCACTGGAATTTACATTTTTCTGTTGTCCTATATTATTCTTTTTACTAAAAGTGGTGTTAGATAACATGGTTTACACTTAGGTGGAATAATTCATAGATTACATGGACCTCTATCATGTACAAAATAAAATTGGTTTGATAGTTTCTTTTGAACCCATATTGAAATAATATAAAGGTTTCTATATTATTTAAATCACTTCATATGATTGGCGACAATTTATGATACATGTGGCATAGTCATGTGATGTTTAAGTGGTATACATATTGAAATTGTGATGTCTGATTGTTATCCATCATGGTGTATATTAATATTGTGTTTCTTTACACAGATACGTACTCTTCAATCAACAAGCTTGTATGTGAAGATTAAAAAATGATGTGGGTTGTTAAAATAAGATTTCCCGCTCTGTTCCAAAATACCAATTGTATTAACTCAAATATAATATTATAAAGACTATTTTTTTGTAAATATTTTTAAAAGCCAATACTTTCCTAATTCTTGCTTTTTGCAAGCGAAAAGGGGAACTAATCCTTCTTTTGTGTGGAGCAGCCTAGCACAGACTCCAGAATTAACGGTAAAAGGTCTCACGATAAGGATAGGAAACGGGCGGTTGGTTTCGGTGTGGCGTGAAAAATGAGTACTAGGGGAGGGTGATGGGAGGATACACTCTCACACGCCACAAGAAATCACGGATATGAATGTGGCATGTCTCATGATGAAAGATGGGGGGAAAGTTGGAATGTTAAATGAATTGAGGCTTTATTCCTCTTAGTAGACGAAATATTGGAGATGGGGTTTGGTGGATACGCGAGCCACGAGGAGGGGTATACACAGTCAAAAGGTGGGTATAGGTCATTAAGGGGTGAAATTAGTGTTGTGGGATGGATGGGCCGGACAAAAATGTGCAATATGGCTTTACCAACAAAAATTAAACTCTTTTTTGGGGCAAATTATTTTATCTACACGATTTAACCATAACAAAAAGAAGACCGAGGTGGGAGCTGAGGTTGTTGCTTATGCGAAGAGGAATCCATTGAAACGAAGGTGCACCCATTTCAAGGTTGTCGGGAGAGTGTAGCTGTATGGGAGCATCATGACACACAACAAGTTCATGCAACAAGGTGAGTCATTTGGATAGTGAGTTCAAGATTATTTTGATAATTTGATTGAGGAGGATCTTGGTTGCTTTATAGTTACACTTTGGAGCTTGTGGAAAGTTAGAAATGAAAAACTATGGAAAGGAAGACTAGAGTAGTATCCGGAAGCCGCTGGAAGAGAGCGGATGAGCCAAAGGCTAGAGAAAGGGTCGCTGGAAATTAGTTAGACGGCCGGATCGGATCGAGTAGACTGACGACTCGATTGGTTAAAGTAAACATTGATGTCGTGGTGGACTTTAGACGAGGTATACGTGCATGGGCTTGACTTGCTAGAGATGAAGGCGGAAGATTTATAAGCGGGGATGTCAAACTACGATTGCTAATTAGTTGGGCGAGATTTCTGAAGCTTTGGGAGTCTGGGAGGCACTAAGCTGTGTGAAAGAACAAGGTTGGGTAAACGTTAAATTAGAGACCGGTTCTCTCATGGCAGCGTCGGGATGCTCGAGCGAGAAGGAGAATCCTACTTTGATCCTACTTTCATAAGAAAGCTATGATCAAAGTTATGCATTGCAGGGGGGTCGGCGAATGGAGCAACACATTAGTTGGCAAGAGCTGCTAGATCTGAATCAGATGTAATTGTTTATTTAAATTTTCCTTCTACCTGTATCTTAATCATATTGGCGACCGATTGTTTGAATTAATGAAGCATGTGTTTTCCTTTTAAAAAACTAAGACTATAAATCTTGTAAACTTTGAAATAATCATTGGGTAAAAAATCATACAATTTTTACAAAATAAATTAACACATGAAGAAGTAACGACCTTAATTAGGCTTTGACCACTGTGACCCCAAATTAACCAGCGCACTTATGTCACTCACATAAAATATCACCACATTAAAGTTCTCATTGTCTCCTAAGTGATATAGCATACTTTATCCATATCATATTTGACTACTTGCACCAGAGTTCATCAAACTCTTTTTCTTATTGTTTGACGAATTAAAAAATAGTAACAATCAAAGAGAAACATACAATGTGAACTAAGAAGTTGCTCAAGGTCATATAATGCAATACAACGAAAAGGTGGAGTCTTTTATAACTTTCTTAGAGTGACATACTAACAAATTCAATGTAACGGTATCTAGTATATTACTTAATTCTATTATTATGCAAGAAGCATGACTAATAAATCATATAGTGAATCGTCATAGAATTAATGGTTTAATTCATCAACTAGTATAGTTTAACCATTGACTTTGACTCGTGAACCACATTGGAAGTTCTCATTGCACGTGTCACCAACAATGACAGAATACTGATGAACAGGCTTAGAAAGGAATGCAGGTAACTGAGCTAGTAGTTGACAAACACACTCATCATCAACTTCTCTCAACCATCGGCAACAAATCTCTTCTTCAGGGTTATCAGTATGGTGTCTATGGTGGTGATGTCTTCGGCCATGAGGTCCGTGCCTACGCGAATGTCGTCCATCTGGACTAGGAGCAGAAACAAGTGACGGTAATGATGACGACGACGATGATGATGGAGGAGATGGTGGAGGGAGATTGAATGGGAGAAATGAGCATGCATGGTCAACTAGGGTGATCTGTGATGCACAAAGTGGGCCAATGAGCTTCCAATGACTCTCTACCGCCATTGGAAAAATACAAAGAATGACTAATAGAATGAGTCCTACTTTGAAGAAACTATTGATACTATTATCATCCATGCTCAACTTGTTGTGATCAAAGACAGGTAGTAGCCAAAAGAACATTTGAGACTTTGAGTTTATATATACACCTATGTCCTTTCATTAGTCATAATTAATAAACATAATTAATAAACATGCGGCATGCATGCATTTATGTGCTTTCTAGTTAGGTAAGTTGCCCAAAGAATGCAGCAAGACACAAAAAGATCAAACACATATGTGATTAGAACTGATAAAAAGTTTATTAATTATTAGGTTAATGGTAGATGGAGATTTCTCATTCACTTTGTGTGAAGTTTCTTTGATTTAATTTAAGCTTTCTTTTTATATTTGATTGTTCCAAACTTTAGAAGAATGCAATTTAGTATCAAACTAAATGACAACTTATCACGTCCCAATTAATGAGTCAAAACATTTGAAATAAACAAGGGAAATTACCCTAAATAAGAGTAAAATATTGTTTAAATTCTCAAATAGGAGTATGCATATTTCTATTCTCTAAATATGACCATGACTCTAAATCTCCCCTCCCCTCTAATCTAATTATTTCCAATCATTTGTAGCTGCCATTTTCTTCTCCGCTCATCATCGAACAATTATTCCAATAACATGCTTTGAGGTGAGTTAGTGGCGGTGGCGAGCAACACAGAGCATCAGGGCACAACACTGAGTAGTGAATTTATATTTGGTGGCCGTAGTTTAGAAGCTCGTTGTTCTCCCCATCCTTCTTTGTTTCTTTTTTTCTTTCTTTTTTTATTTATCTTCCTCTTCTTTGGTTCTCTCCTCCGCATAGTCTATTTTGTCGCAAGCCTCAAGCTCGAAAATTTGAGATGATCTGTTTCTTCTTTGTGTTTTTAAAAATGCTAAATTTTACTCAGGAAATACCATCAAGGCGGCACCATTACTTTTTAAAATGCCATTAATATGACATTATTGATTCAATATGGCATTCAGAGAAAATGATATATTTTCCCAATCATCGGCAGTAACGGTGGCAGAAGATGTGAGTACTTTTTGTGATTTTTGATATATTGAATACAATTAAATCTTTTCACTTATGTATAGACTAATACAACAAATTGTTCAATCAAATTATCATACTCCATTCTGATTTTTTATTTTATCGTGTATAATTTTACAGACTCACACACTTTGATTATGGTAATCTTGAGTGATGTTTATGCTTGATCATTATATAATTTGAAGGCCAAATTGGCACAAATAATTCATACTTTTACACATTTTATAGAAAAAATCCCTACTGGAAAAATTCACAGTAATAATCCCAACTAGTTAAGCGTTTCACAAAAATAAACCGGGAGTTAACCGTGTCAATTTTCCCGTTTGGCTTTTTTGGCGAAATTTGCGGCAATAATCCCTACTTTAACGTATTTTACAAAAATAATCCATACTAAAAAAGTTCACAATATTAATCTCAACTACTTAACTATTTCACAAAAATAAACCGGGAGCTAACAATGTTAACTTTTCCATTAATATTCTTTTACATTTTACGTGTATTGAAGCAAAAAATTATAAGCATTAACAACTTTTAGTTTAATCTCATTTCTACTATGTAGTATATCCTTAATTTAATATTCAATATTTTTCATAAAATTTAATAGAATTTTGAATTAAGTATAGATTTCAAAGTATAAATATTTCTAATAGATTTTATAGAGATTTCAAAGTAGAAATTTTTCTATTAAATTTTATGCAAAATATTAAATTAAAATTATAGTACAAATAAGTTTAAAAATCAAATAAAGTATTTTTTTTTATCGTAAATCAAATAAAGTATTGTTAATGTTTATATATATTTTTGCTTCATTATGACACTATCTTTATAATTTAAAAAATATGAATTCATAAGTTAACACCGATAGCTCCAGCTTTATTTTTGTGAAATGGTTAAGTAGTTGGAATTAATTTTCTGAACTTTTATAGTAGGGAATATTTGTGTAAAATACGTAAGAATAGTGATTATTGGCGTCAATTTCGCTACAAAACTAAGGATGTTCTTACTTGGATTAGAATTTTCTGGTCTGGTCCGATTTGATCTGGTGTAGTCTAGTAAATGTCTGGTCTATGTGTATTTTATACTTGTCCAAGTCTGGTCTGGTCTGGTCTGGTTTGATCTGGTCTAATCAGATCTGGTCTGATCGGGTTTAGGACTAAAAAAAACTAAGTAAAAACATCCTAAACGGGAAAGTTGGCACTGTTAACTCCCGATTTATTTTTGTGAAACAGATATCTAATTGGGATTATTGTTGTGAACTTTTCCAGTAAGTTTTTTTTTTGCAAAATGTGCAAAAGTAAGAATTATTTGTGTTAATTTCGCGTAATTTGAATTATATAGATTTATAATATCAATAATAATTCATTATTAGGATGATATACATAAACAAATAATTGAACAATGTTTTCATGTTGTAATTGAATATATCATTGAGAGTTACTACCTTTGTCCCAATTTGTTTTGCGAAGTTAACATTTTTTGGACAACTGATGCTAATTAAATATTCTCTATTGATATTTAATTCAATTTTAATAATTAAAATTTACATATTCAAAAATTTTATCAAAATCTCTATAAAGTTGTAAAATCGAAATTAAACTTAATTAAAAATTGATATCGTAATTAAGTGAAATTTACAATGAATGAATTCAAATTCGATGATCGAATGAGAGGCTTTAGGATGTTTTCTTTTGGACTGTTTTCAGTCCCAGACCAGACTTAAACAGACCAGACCAGACCAGACTTAAACAGACCAGACCAGACCAGACTAGACCAGACTTCCGTAGTTATAAAATACACAGAGACCAGACGTTTACCAGACCAGTTCAGACCAGACCAGACCAGACTTAAATAGACCAGACCAGACCAGACCAAACTTAAACAGACCAGACCAGACCAGCAAATTTCAGTCCAAAAGAAAATTAGTTATTGATAGTGGACTGCTTAAACAATATACAAGGATGGAATTTATAGATAACTTATACTAAAAGAAATTATTAGACATTATTTTCATGTTTTAATTGAATGTGCCATTAAGATTCGCAATTAATGAATTCTTGAAAGTCAAACGGAAGGCTTCAATCGTGGAGATGGAAAATTGGATCACCACGCAAAAGTCGAAACTTATAGTTAGAGGTATAAATTTATCCTTAAGAAAAGTTACGTTAGTTCTTGATAGTATATACAAATATGAATTGATGAAATTTTAAATAAGAGTGGCACTTAAGAATGGTAATGGATCAGATTTGCTCTATCCATAACTATACACCAAATATGTGATTGTGATTCGATTAATCCGCTATTTGTAAACATTGGTCCACATGTTAGGGTGGATCAGGTTGCCATCATTGAAAAAAATATTTTAGCAAATTAGCAATTTATGGGAGGAAGAGACAATTTAAGTCCTAAATTTATGTGAGCAATATAAATATAGCAAATGTTTTAAACAAATCTATACATAATACAATTCAAAGATACAATTAGGGAAAGTTTTGACATGTGGCATACTAGTATTCCACCCGTGCGTTGCACGGGATGAAATGTGCAAGATGATATAAATGTTAACATATAAATGTAAGTATTTATCATATTATTATTTTTATCACACGAATAAGAGTTCCCACAAACAAATAAAATATAATACTTCCTCCGTTCTTTTTTAAATGCAACAGTCCACTTTTCACGCTTAACAACGCACACGTTTGACCGTTAATATCTTTCATTCCTTATTAGAAAAATATATAAAAAATTAGTTTTTGAAAATTTATTATAATAGGAATTTAAAAATATTTTTTAAAAATTTAATTCGAAACACATTAATAAATAAAATGTAGTCAAAGTAGAATCTGTGAATAGTAAAAAAAGTCATGCATTGCAATTAAAAGAGAACGGAGGTAGTAGATATTAAAAGTTTAAAAAACACACATTTTATAAATTAGCGAAAACTTCATTGTAGACAACATTATTTAAACTACGGACTATTTCGTAAGACTCGTAAGACTGTATTGTGATACCTTCATACAGTAAACACATAAGCTGCAATGACATGACACAAGTAGAACTTTGATGCCATAATTTCTACCACTAATCAATTCCTCATTCTCTGTGTATAGACTATCCATTACTCAAGGTTGTAATTTGTGATTTCAACAACCTATTTAAAGAAAACCCCATATTTTCCTTGCAAAAAAACCCCATATTTTATTTATATGAAGAAAGTTGGCAAGAATGTTTGTTGAATGTAATAAATAGACTTACCAAATATAGCTCAAGGTTAATTTCCCTTTTTCATTTATAGTTATGACATACTATTAGTGGTGGACTCGGGCGGGTGGCCCGACCCGGAACCGGCCCGGGACCGGCACTGTTCCGGCCCGGCCCGACCTGGTGGCCCGGCTAGTGACCGGTCCAGGTAGGCCTGATCCGAGGGGTTTCCGGTCCGGGCTTGGGTCACCCAAAACATGAACCGGCCCGGCCGGCCTGGGCCCGGTTCCAGGCTTTTTTTTTTCAATTTTTTTTAAATCCCCGGGTTGGGCTGGGTATTTTGGGCCATTTGGGGTGGTTTGGGGGGGTTGGGGGTTAATTAGAAAAAGGAAAAAATATGTAAGAGGCCCGAGGCCCGGCCCGGACCCGGTGGCTACCTGGGCCGGTCCCGGGACCAACATTTCCTAACCGGCGGCCCGGTCGGGCCTAGGCCCGGCCCGAGGCCACCACTACATACTATATTGCTAATATTGGAACTTCATATTGTCCTTTTAAGTTTTAAATAGCAAAGGCGGTGTTAATTTCCTAAATTTTGTAGTACACATACACAGTTTTCATGTTATGTAACTAAAAGAACTAATTTACCAATTTAAATAGATCTTTTTCAAGCTAAAGTGTTACTGCCCCTAATAATAGTTGGTTGCTTTCTTCAATGGAATCATGATAATCTTATTGCAGCCACTGACTATAAAATTAGCACAATTACAAATGTAATGTCCAAACCCAATGATTTTCTTATTTGTAAGGGTATATTTAATGATACCAAAAGATATGTGAAGCTATAGCAATATCTATATAATTTGAATTGAAAT